AATTCTTGGGGGAGGGAGGTTGCTGAGCCAGGGGCTGGGCTTGTTTGTTTTTTGGTTTTTTTTGCTGAGCCAGGGGGTGGGGGATGGGGCTGGAAGGGATGGTGGGTTGTTTTGTATTTGGGTTTTTTTGCTGAGCCAGGGGGTGGGGGATGGGGCTGGAGGGGACGGTGGGTTGTTTTTCTCACGGTGTTGGTTGGGTATTGAATTCTCTGATTTTTTGGGTGGGGGGCGGGGGCCTGTGTTTTTGTTTTGTGTTTTGTGTTGAGTGATTTTTTTTGCTGACGGGGTTGGGTGGGTTTTGAATTCTTTGATTTTTTGGGTGGGGGATGGGGCTGGGGGGGATGTTGGGCGGGGGCCGGATCGGGCCCGGCTGGGGGGGACGGGGCCCCCGACACGGCCCCGACACGACCCTGACAAGGCCCTGACACGGCCCTGACACGGCCCCGGGGGCTGACACGATGTTTGCGTTTTTGTTAAAAAAATATCACTGCTTTTTTCTAAAAGAAAATCACGGCTATGACACGGCCGGTGGTTGACACTGTGATCGTTTTTTTGATTTTTTTAATGGCGGTTTTATTATTTCAGGGTCGGGATTTGGGTTTGTGGTTTACGGGTTTGGGTTTGGAGTTTCAAGTTCAAGGGCTGGGGCGCGAGGTTAAAATTTAGAGGCTATAGATCTAGGTTCCCTGTTTACGGCTTTGGGGTTTCAGGGTTGGGGCTTGGGTTTAAGGTTCAGGGGTTAGGCTATAAAGGTTGTTGCTTTTATGATTGTGCTGATGCGGTTTTGCTTCTGGGTTTTGTTGGGGATTTGGGCGGTAAACGGTTTGGGGTTTAGGGAGTTTCAGGTTTAGGGTTTAAGGGTTTGGTTGAAGGAGTTAGGCCTTTCAGGGTTGATAAGGGCTGGGGTTTAGGGGTTTAGATATACATGGGCATAAACTGCAGCTCTAAACCCTGAAACCTCCTTATGCACCTTATACACCCTAAACCCGAACCCTAAGCTGAACCCTCACTAAACCCTAAACCCTGAACCGGTGCCCTAAACGGTCCCATATAAACCCTATAACCCGAGAAGCCCTAAAAAGCCCTTTATGCACGGCGGGCGATGCCTCGCCCGTGAAGGTTTTTTGTTTGTTGGTGGTGTGCTGCTGCTGCTGCTGCTGCTTCTGCTTCTGCTGCTGCATGCTGCACGGCGGACGATGCCTCGCCGTACAGGTTGTTTTGTTTTTCCATGCTCATGATTGCCATGGATTCTCGTGTGGAATTTTGCAATTTGGTGGTTTGTTTTTTCTTTAGTTTTCGTGAATTTCCAACAACTTTCCCATTCACGGATACATCAAAAATCAATTTCCGGACCATGATTTTGTAGTTTCTACAGCTATAATTTTGTATTTTGTGCTTACAATTTTTTACATTTCACCAACATGATTTCGGTTTTTTTGCTATTCGTGGAACCGTTCGCAGAGTCAGCTGAGGACTTATAAGTCCTTGCTAAGTCCATAGCAACCAATTGCTTTGCGATTCCCACGTACTTACTAAATACTTCACAAACCGGCTTATAACCATGCTTTCTAAATGCAAGCATGATATAAGCAGACGAGCACTTGCATCCTATATACAAACGAATGCGTGGCTTATAAGTATACTTGCATGACTTGTAACCCCAGTTGCAACACTTATAAGTGGACTTCATAAGTGTATAAGTAAAAACACGGTCATAGTACTTGCGGCTGCTCTTGCGTCAGCGCAACGACGCTGTAGATACAGTTTTCCGACCAGAAGCACTTCACGAGCTGTGGAAGAAAGTGCTCACGGGCCTTCAATCTGGCACTTGGAGGTTCATGGGTAGTTATAAGCAGGGTTATAAGTCCCCTAATATGGGTTATAAGCATAGTTACCCTACTTATAACCTTACTTACAACTACCCATGAACCTCCAAGTAGACCCTAAACCCTATACCCTCATAGAATCCCTATAGATCCCTTTAAAGGGACCTTTAGAGGAACCCCTATAACTACCCAAGCAGTGAGTTGAGTCCTGATGTATCCAGGACGCAGCACTGGGGACGGAGCTTCTCGTCTCCCCCGCACCGGAGCCCCGTGACTTTGTCATCGTTGGGTAAAATTTTACATTTTTAAGGGTACTTAAACCCAATAAGGAATAAAAAAGTAAAGTCAGTGATAGCGAACCTTTGTCATAGTTGGGTAAAATTTTACGTTTTTAAGGGTACTTAAACCCAAAACCCAAGAAGGAATAAACATGTAAATTTTTAACCTTATCCCAACCATGAACCAGGTGATGTGGTCTGGCAAAACGTGGCGCGGCCCCAGGCGCGGGGGAACCCTTCAAGGCTCTTCGGGGGTTGTTGGCAGGGTTCCTTTAAAGGGAACCCTCCAACGGCACCCTTGAAGAGAGCCCTAGTATGAAACCCATAATGCCCTTTCAGGGAGCCCTTCTATGGAGCTTTAAGGGATCCTTGAAAAGCTCCTTTAAAGGGATCCCTTCAAAGCTCCTCTAAGGGATCCTTTAAAAGGGATCCCCTAAGGATCCTTTAAGGGTCCTCTCTTGGAGGGTCGGGGGACTTAGTAACTGGTTATTTTAGGGACTTATAAGTACCATAACCCCAATTAGGGTCCCTTTTAGGGTACTTATAAGTCTACTTACTAACTACTTACTAAGGCCCCCGACCCCCAATAAACCCTAAACCCTATACTACCCTTATAGATCCCCTTAAAGGGACCCTTAGAATCCCCTTTAAAGCTTTAAAGGAGCCCTTACTAAGTCCCTCGACCCCCCAGCCCCAAGTATCCCAGGCGCAGCTCCTCGTGAGGACCTTCTTCGTGGAGTTGGCCTTGCTCTTCGGCCTCGGGCCTCGGAAAATGAACATTTTTGGACGTTCATGGGTAGTTATCGGGGTTCCTTTAAGGGTCCCTTTAAAGGGATCTATAGGGATTCTATGAGAGTATAGGGTTTAGGGTCTACTTGGAGGTTCATGGGCGGTTATAAGTAGGGTTATAAGAAGGGAAACTGTACTTATAACCCATATTAGGGGACTTATAACTTTACTTATAACTACCCATGAACCTCAAACGCCTGTTGTTTAGGGGTTTAAGGTTTAGGGGTTAGGGTTAGGGGTTGGGGGGTGTAGGGCAGTTGAGGGTTTAGGGTTTACACGGGTTTAGGGTTTGGGGATCTAGGGTTTAATATAGGGGCCTTAATCATTAATGAAGGGCTCCTTTAAAGGGATCCTTAAGGGGTCAAAAAGGATTTATAGCAGGGTTCTACAAAAAAATAGGCCTTCTGATAACTACCTACGTATGTTATTTGAATGTTGGGGCTTGCTTCTTATATATATATATATATATATATATATACTTATTTATATGATGCAGGAAAACGATGTATACAATGGAGACCGCACGTAGAGAGGGCTGGCTGTCAGGGCTGCACCTGAAGCCGCAGACATGAACTTCGTGGTTTCAGCTCGACGGGTTGAGGTTGAAGGTTTGAGGCTTACCAGGACCCCCCAATGGCCCTCTAATGGAGCCCGTATGGCCCTTACGTAACAGTGGGTATTTGGGGTATGTTAAAGGGTAGTTGGGGGGTCTAGGTAGGGTTTAGGGTTCAGAGTTTAGGTGTGAGGTTTGAAAAGGTTTCGGGTGTAAACTGGTAGGGTTCGTGGCTTGAGGGTTTCAGCCACGCATTGAGACTGAAATCGCGATCAACAGAACACACAAACACACAAACACTATTGCTGAGTGCCCGGCTGCCCCTGTGTGAGTCCTCTTGACAGCAAGACCCTAAGCCCTCAAACGAGCTACCTTGCACGGCCGAGGCCTCTTATTTTGGTCCGTGCCTGTGTCGCTGATTCAGGCGAGGGTTCACATTGCAGGATTCCTTGTAAAGTTTCACAAGGTGCAGGGTCAGGAATTGGGGTCTCGAGCTGGTCATGAGGATTCACATCGTGGGTGTATATATGTCAGTACAGGTCCTTGAAGGCAGGTGAGTGTAGGTGCATGAGTGGAAAGATGCAAAAACAGATAAGCAAAATTGTATGAATTTATACATAAACTGCTTCCTTAGCTATCAATCGTTCTTTCTGTGTCTACCTAAAACAAGACAAACGATGCCTCGAACCAACCGCACGTGAACCTGAAAGTGGTCAGTTGAGCAGCAGTAAACATCTTACGGTGGCGGGGTTGCGATTCTTGCGTGGGCATTTGCAGATGACGAGGACTTCAACATTAAAAGGGTGGTTGTAAAACAGACGAAGCAACCCCTCACAGCACAAGCATGCAAAGATCCGCACTTTGCATAAGTTTCTTCTTCTGGAATCTAGCAGCTTGCATGAAACCGCATGAACTTAGGCAAACGGCCTGTGCAAATTCGCGGTTCCACTGTTTCCATGATGGCATCACTTAGGCCAGCATGCGCACGTAACAAGTTGTAGGCCCAACTGCACGTTCAAAAGCCCTGGACAATCAACTTCGAATTCCAAAGTTCGCATCTCATCTTTCGTCCTACCATTTGGGTCAGAATAGTTAGACAGGTACCCGGTTATACTCCTTACATGCCCTTTATACGACGACTTGAGAGGTGTGGTGTTCTATGGCACGTCTCACGCAGTTACTCGGCCTGACCCGCTCGGGAAGATTGGGGAGGAGTTGAGCGGCACAGATTCCCAGACCTCTTCAGTGCCCTAGAGGTGTATGCACACCTGCCTAGTTGACACTTCGCAGTTAGGATTGTAAGAACGTCAGTCGTTATAATTCGGCGTGTGAGATGGGCAGCGCTATGACCATCTTACGGTCATCTTACGCAGTCTTGCGTGCAACTCCTCCATATCCTAGACCCACTCCTCTTCGATTCTGATGAAGCTTCTGCAGTGGACAACAGGATGACTCCAGACGTTTCTGACAGTGACACGGACGAACCCCTGCTCACAGCTGTTCGTGCTCGAGCTACAGCCTCCAGGACAGAGTGTCTTTCCGCTGTGTAGAACCATGGCGGAGTACAAGTTGGCAGTGGATTCCAGCAACAAGGCCACCGAGCTGCCGCTACTGAGGGTCTGTGGCACTGTGCAGCAGAATCCTCACATGCGTGCTTTCTGGGCCAGCACAATATCTTTCTTCCTTGCCTTCCTTGGCTGCTTCGTAAGAATTTTGTCACTTTCGAGTTTAGCTCGTTTCGACATTTTAAGTTACACTGATATCTGAACTCCCAGTTAATTACACACTGTTCAAGCCGCCAAGGCTGGTTTGCCTTGGCCCCTTTAGGCCTCGAAGTTGCGACCAGCATGGGCACGTGCGAGAACCAGCTCTTCCCTCCCACGGACTTCCCAACACGACCAGCCTACCTGAAGTTCAAGAACTTGAAGAGTGGGCTGAGCTATTGCCAGTATGGGGTCCTCAAGGAGGACGGCAAGCCGATCGATTGCCAAGACGTCCCCGCAGATGTGGTGAGCAGCGCCGGCTCAACCGCTGAGGAGAAGGAGAAGTACAGGCCCCAGGTGCTCACAAAGTGCGTGTGCACCCCAGGCACAGAGTGTAAGTCAGTGATAGCGAACCTTTGTCATAGTTGGGTAACATTTTACATGTTTTTATGGCTACTTAAACCCAACAAGGAATAAGAATTTATGTTTTTAAGCTTATCCCAACCATGAACTAGGAACGCTGGCGTGGCCTCGGTTGCCTCGACCATCTTCGTGAGGATAGCCTTGGGGACGCTCCTAGAGCGCTTTGGCCCCGTGACTCGGCAACAAGACCCTCTTCCCAAACTTGCTAATTTACTACGTAACCATCACAATCACTACAATAGCCGGTCCGCACCCCAAACAGCAGCCACTGCCTGAGGTGAACGTTCAGTGCGGCTTGATGTCCTTCGGAGCTTTCTGGGTGGCCATGGCAGCCGCGATTACGGCTCCCTGGAACTATACGCTGATCCGCTTCTTCATAGGCCCACATGGAGTGACCATCGTATTTTGTAGTACTACTGCAGGCATATAATAGTAGTATTAGTAGAATAATATTCGTAATAAAACGGTAATGTGATAGTAATACTAGAGTATATTATATCCCGAAAATAGGGTCGGGAAGGGGGACCTGGGGGATGTCGAGAAGATTGTGGTCAGGACAGGCAGCATTGGTGTTGTTGCGAGAACGTGCTGTTGACATTGCGAAAGGACATCTTAACAGCTTATGTCATATTCAGACCAGCAGATTGGGTGCTCATTATCATTGATCCTCAATCTTGCAATTGCCGCTGATTCCGCTGTTATCATCAACGCCGTTGCTACTCACATTACATTATTGTCATTGCCATAGTCGTATCACCGCTGGTCGGGTACAACCAGTGCCAGTCTCGCTGCCGCCCTCCTCACCACCGCTGCCGCCGCCACCATCGCAACAACCGCCGCCTTGACCACCAGGACAGCCACTATCGCTACCACCACCTACTACTTCTGCGTCTGCCATTGCTACTGCCACCGCTACTACTACGACGACGACTGCTGCTGTTCTACCGCTACTGGTACTGCGTCTGCCAGTAGTTATTGAACTAGTGCCAGTCGTGGTACTAGATCTAGCCGTTGCTTGTCGGAATTTCTCACTGGTACTCTTAGCATAGAGCATTCTCACTACTCGCGCCGCCACCACCACCATCATCAGCAGCAGCATCATGACCATCACCATCATCATCGTCAGCATCCTCATCACCATCGTCATCATGGTTGTCACGGTCATCGCGGTCATTTATATTATGACCATCATCATCATCGCCGGCATCATTATTATGAGCATTGTCATCGCCATCGTCATCACGGTACATCACTGGCATTATCTCCGTCATCCTAATATGTTCTTCACGATCTTCAGCATCATCATAGTCTCTGCCTTCTTTTTGTCGTGTTACCAACATGTTAAACTCCGGCTTTTTAGAGATTACTGTTTCTGATGGCAATCCTCGTTCTATTTTCATCCCTCTACATGGATGACTATGCATTCAGTGAAGGTCCGGCCTTCCCTTTCCTTCGCCTGCGTTCCTTGTCCCGGTAGGCTGCGCTGGCGCCACTTTCGTGACCAATCAATTCTGGTGCTCGCTGATGTTTGCACCCAACGTTGCCAGAGCTTGTTTCATATGGAGGTGTTTTCCTTCTTTTGAATGTTTCCGGGCCCCAAAGAGCATGTAAACCGGTCTTCAACAATTGCAGGTTGTTGGCACGGCCAACGCCACTGCGGCCGGTTGGGGCAACCTGGGAGGCGGCGTGACCCAGCAGCTTGCACGCGCTTTTCAATTTTTTCTGCACTTTGTTCCGACATTGGTTGTGATACTTACTATATAAGTGGCTAAGGATTTTTATGATGTCCGTACTTTTCAACCCTATGGTGGCCTCCGGGATGGAGCCAAATGTCGCTTGGCGGGTCTCCATGGTGGTGCCAGCGATCATGTTCGTGATTTGCGCCATCTGCATGAAGCTCATGATGCCCGGCCGATTGTTAAGATGTGGTTTGCGTGGCTTTGGCCGAGATTGTTCGACAAACTTGGTTAAACAAAAGCATCCGTTCTCAGAGCTAAGCCAAGGTGCTGGGATATGCCCACGGCACGCAACTACGATCCGACCGTGACTGGCAAGACACAAAAGCCTTCGATGTGGGACTATGTCGAGGTGCTGCGTGACGTTCGCGTCGTGGTCATGATCTTCCAATATTCCGCGTGCTTCGGCACGGATCCCCGGCTGCTCAATTTATGTATTTCCGGGAACATATTTGTGCAAGTGTAGCCGCATAGAAGTAGTGCAAGATTTCACACCGTTGTTCTAGCATGCAAAGTGGGAGCACACCCCTGCAACACTACGTTGAAGAGTGCCTTTGTGTGTGTGTGTGTGTGTATGTGTTAAGAACTTGCAAGAAGTGCTTGAGCTTAGGGCCGATACTTGGAATACTTGGCTTAATGTTCTGCACGGATCACACATGGGCTCCTGTCGCTGCAAGTTTGCCGCATGTGAGGAACTCGCAATGAACAATCAGTTGGCTACGCATTTTCGGACGTACTTCCAGATGGATGCAGGCGCATGCGGTATGGGCAGTAATTAGTTTGGAGTCCGCTTCTGGAGGCGCATGGACATAGACTCGAATGTCGAAACCTTGGGCGGCAGGTGATGCCAGCGCCCTGGCTGGTGCTTTTGGCCTGATGAACCTTTTTGCGAGATCACTTGGAGGCTGTGTTTCGAACTCAAGTCATGAGCGACTGTTAAGCCTTTTAAGCTTGTGCTGTTGTTTCGGAGGCATCAGCAGCGACATTTGCTTCAAGTACTTCGGCTTCCGCGGCCGCATCTCGGCCCCATCTGGTCACATGTTTGAGTGCAGAAGCGGAAGCTGCGGTCTTTCGAAGAGATGAGGCATTTGGGCTCAGTTCCTGGCACTCTTCTTCGAAGCTATCTTCTTGTTCAGCTTCGGAAAGGCCTGGCCCAAGGGCGCTTGTCCTGTCAGCAAGCAAACCACGATGATGCTGATGATGATGACGATGGTGGTGATGATGGTGGTGATGATGATTCAGGTGGACAATTCGCAGCCTTGGTACGTGGCCTTGGCAGTCTTGGTTTGCTTCTCGCTCTTTGTGCAGATGGCTGAGGCGGGCCCCTCTCAGCAAACCTTGAGGTATGCTGTGAGACGGATAACTTTCGTGGGAATAGCCTTGCCGACTAGCCTCTGAGGGCACCTCCTACGGCATCGTGCCCTTCATGAACCGGAAACTTGGCTGAGTGCATGGATGATTGTAGTTGCCACCTGCGGTCATGGCAACAGTTCGTCTTCGTAATTCGTAGGAGTTGGCGACATGCACACGTCAGGAAGCAACTCGCAGTGGTGTCCGCGCTTGTGGGTGCCGGTGGAAACCTCGGGGCAGTGACACCCGGTGGCAGACATTATTGTAACGGAACGGACGGGGGTCTTTCGATTTTCGAGAGATAGATCATTTTGTCGTCTCCCAGATGGGGCCTTCTCTGTCTCTCGAGAGGATAGACCGTTCAAGTCTGCCATGTATATAGAGGAATCGCGTCTCCCCAAATTACAAGACTGATAAGACTGGATCGGGATAGGATGATCAAGAACATAGAGTGTCAGCAGTGCAGAGCTGGAGCCCAGGATTGCAGGCTTCTGCTTTTACAAGCCGATCCAGGATGCCCTGCTGCCTTTCCAGGCAGGGTCGAAGTTCAAGCCCGATGTTCGTCTTGGGGTTACTTGTAAGGGTTGCTCCAGGGTCGCCGGTAAGTGTTCAACGTCATTCACATGGCGTAAGCGACGCCAGGCCACGCAGCGTCTCTTGTGCCCTGGTGCAGCCTCGAAGTTGGCGTTTAGACCTGTATACAAGCATCATGCCCGTCTTGTGTTCGCGGACACTGTTCAATCTGGACACCCGGCGCTGCTTTAACAATCGTGGGACCCGCATCCTTGTAGCCAGACAGGCCTAGCTTGATTCTTGTGAATCGTTACTCAGGGCCGTTAGGCTGGTCCCCGTCGTTGGACAGGTCCATGCGGGCTATGTCATGTTTTGGGCGCTGCTGAGCCCCTGCTACTACTGGTCCGAGATGGGTGGGATGTTTCACGGACCGGCACAGAGCGTCGAGAAGGCCAAGGGCCTCAAGACCAAAGCGGATCCTTCATGTTTCTTTCGAGTTTACATAGGAGTCTGAGCATGGAGCTTCATGATCGTGGGTTCATGGTATGTGGAGATTCGTCACCATTTTTCTTTCGGCAAGGCTGTAGGGCAGGGACACACGGGAACCAAACAGTTTGGAGACGTAGGTATGTGGGCTTTTGAGTGGGCAGTGATGCAGTGGCAGCTGGAAGTCTGAGCTTTGCAGGGCAAGACCGGCGACTACGAGTCTCACGCGGTGTCCGAGGCCACCACTGCAGCAACCACTGAGACGAGCGTGTGAACTTTACAGGAGACAATCTGACCCTCGAGGTGACAATCATTATGCTAATTCGATGGCTCGAGCCAGTTTTGTGTGGTCGGCCGGTGCCTTGGCATGGAGTGCAATGCACCGGCGAGTTCGGACAAGCCCGCCACTTGGCAACAGCCGTGCGCCGGGCCTGCCATCTCTGCATAGTAAGTGCCAAGCACATGACTTGGTGCGACCAGCAAACAGACGCGCAAAATCTTCATATGCACCCTCCGGAGTAAATTATTTTGGGGTCCTTATGAGAAGGGTCCTACTATTTGGGGGTATTATATTAGGATCCCCTATTGTCGGAAACTCCCATCTGGTAGCTTTAAGTTGAGGGAACCCGCCATCTGAAACCCTGTGGGTCTCCCTAGCCCTTTGTCACAAATAGGTGCAGTCACCGACAAGTTCTATGCAGGGGCTGCCTTGTTAGCCTAGCTGATGTGCTCTAAACCCGAAAACCCTTAAACCCTAAACCCAAAAGTACCTGCAGTAAAAAAGGGCCCACTAAAGAACACAAACAAGAAACCCAAACATACCCACAGCCCCCCTAGAGCCTCCGAGCCTCTGGGCCTTTCTCACGCTATGAAGCTTCTGCAGTTGACAACAGGATGACTCCAGAGGTTTCTGACAGTGACACGGACGAACCCCTGCTCACAGTTGTTGGTGCTCGAGCTACAGCCTCCAGGACAGAGTGTCTTTCCTCTGTGTAGAACCATGGCGGAGTACAAGTTGGCAGTGGATTCCAGCCACAAGGCCACCGAGCTGCCGCTACTGAGGATCTGTGGCACTGTGCAGCAGAATCCTCACATGCGCGCTTTCTGGGCCAGCACAATATCTTTCTTCCTTGCCTTCCTTGGCTGCTTCGTAAGAATTTTGTCACTTTCGAGCTTAGCTCGTTTTGACATTTTAAGTTACACTGATATCTGAACTCCCAGTTAATTACACACTGTTCAAGCCGCCAAGGCTGGTTTGCCTTGGCCCCTTTAGGCCTCGAAGTTGCGACCAGCATGGGCACGTGCGAGAACCAGCTCTTCCCTCCCACGGACTTCCCAACACGGCCAGCCTACCTGAAGTTCAAGAACTTGAAGAGTGGGCTGAGCTATTGCCAGTATGGGGTCCTCAAGGAGGACGGCAAGCCGATCGATTGCCAAGACGTCCCCGCAGATGTGGTGAGCAGCGCCGGCTCAACCGCTGAGGAGAAGGAGAAGTACAGGCCCCAGGTGCTCACAAAGTGCGTGTGCACCCCAGGCACAGAGTGTAAGTCAGTGATAGCGAACCTTTGTCATAGTTGGGTAACATTTTACATTTTTTTATGGCTACTTAAACCCAACAAGGAATAAGAATTTATGTTTTTAAGCTTATCCCAACCATGAACTAGGAACGCTGGCGTGGCCTCGGTTGCCTCGACCATCTTCGTGAGGATAGCCTTGGGGACGCTCCTAGAGCGCTTTGGCCCCGTGACTCGGCAACAAGACCCTCTTCCCAAACTTGCTAATTTACTACGTAACCATCACAATCATTACAATAGCCGGTCCGCACCCCAAACAGCAGCCACTGCCTGAGGTGAACGTTCAGTGCGGCTTGATGTCCTTCGGAGCTTTCTGGGTGGCCATGGCAGCCGCGATTACGGCTCCCTGGAACTATACGCTGATCCGCTTCTTCATAGGCCCACATGGAGTGACCATCGTATTTTGTAGTACTACTGCAGGCATATAATAGTAGTATTAGTAGAATAATATTCGTAATAAAACGGTAATGTGATAGTAATACTAGAGTATATTATATCCCGAAAATAGGGTCGGGAAGGGGGACCTGGGGGATGTCGAGAAGATTGTGGTCAGGACAGGCAGCATTGGTGTTGTTGCGAGAACGTGCTGTTGACATTGCGAAAGGACATCTTAACAGCTTATGTCATATTCAGACCAGCAGATTGGGTGCTCATTATCATTGATCCTCAATCTTGCAATTGCCGCTGATTCCGCTGTTATCATCAACGCCGTTGCTACTCACATTACATTATTGTCATTGCCATAGTCGTATCACCGCTGATCGGGTACAACCAGTGCCAGTCTCGCTGCCGCCCTCCTCACCACCGCTGCCGCCGCCACCATCGCAACAACCGCCGCCTTGACCACCAGGACAGCCACTATCGCTACCACCACCTACTACTTCTGCGTCTGCCATTGCTACTGCCACCGCTACTACTACGACGACGACTGCTGCTGTTCTACCGCTACTGGTACTGCGTCTGCCAGTAGTTTTTGAACTAGTGCCAGTCGTGGTACTAGATCTAGCCGTTGCTTGTCGGAATTTCTCACTGGTACTCTTAGCATAGAGCATTCTCACTATTCGCGCCGCCACCACCACCATCATCAGCAGCAGCATCATGACCACCACCATCATCATCGTCAGCATCCTCATCACCATCGTCATCATGCTTGTCACGGTCATCGCGGTCATTTATATTATGACCATCATCATCATCGCCGGCATCATTATTATGAGCATTGTCATCGCCATCGTCATCACGGTACATCACTGGCATTATCTCCGTCATCCTAATATGTTCTTCACGATCTTCAGCATCATCATAGTCTCAGCCTTCTTTTTGTCGTGTTACCAACATGTTAAACTCCGGCTTTTTAGAGATTACTGTTTCTGATGGCAATCCTCGTTCTATTTTCATCCCTCTACATGGATGACTATGCATTCAGTGAAGGTCCGGCCTTCCCTTGCCTTCGCCTGCGTTCCTTGTCCCGGTAGGCTGCGCTGGCGCCACTTTCGTGACCAATCAATTCTGGTGCTCGCTGATGTTTGCACCCAACGTTGCCAGAGCTTGTTTCATATGGAGGTGTTTTCCTTCTTTTGACTGTTTCAGGGCCCCAAAGAGCATGTAAACCGGTCTTCAACAATTGCAGGTTGTTGGCACGGCCAACGCCACTGCGGCCGGTTGGGGCAACCTGGGAGGCGGCGTGACCCAGCAGCTTGCACGCGCTTTTCAATTTTTTCTGCACTTTGTTCCGACATTGGTTGTGATACTTACTATATAAGTGGCTAAGGATTTTTATGATGTCCGTACTTTTCAACCCTATGGTGGCCTCCGGGATGGAGCCAAACGTCGCTTGGCGGGTCTCCATGGTGGTGCCAGCGATCATGTTCGTGATTTGCGCCATCTGCATGAAGCTCATGATGCCCGGCCGATTGTTAAGATGTGGTTTGCGTGGCTTTGGCCGAGATTGTTCGACAAACTTGGTTAAACAAAAGCATCCGTTCTCAGAGCTAAGCCAAGGTGCTGGGATATGCCCACGGCACGCAACTACGATCCGACCGTGACTGGCAAGACACAAAAGCCTTCGATGTGGGACTATGTCGAGGTGCTGCGTGACGTTCGCGTCGTGGTCATGATCTTCCAATATTCCGCGTGCTTCGGCACGGATCCCCGTCTGCTCAATTTATGTATTTCCGGGAACATATTTGTGCAAGTGTAGCCGCATAGAAGTAGTGCAAGATTTCACACCGTTGTTCTAGCATGCAAAGTGGGAGCACACCCCTGCAACACTACGTTGAAGAGTGCCTTTGTGTGTGTGTGTATGTGTTAAGAACTTGCAAGAAGTGCTTGAGCTTAGGGCCGATACTTGGAATACTTGGCTTAATGTTCTGCACGGATCACACATGGGCTCCTGTCGCTGCAAGTTTGCCGCATGTGAGGAACTCGCAATGAATAATCAGTTGGCTACGCATTTTCGGACGTACTTCCAGATGGATGCAGGCGCATGCGGTATGGGCAGTAATTAGTTTGGAGTCCGCTTCTGGAGGCGCATGGACATAGACTCGAATGTCGAAACCTTGGGCGGCAGGTGATGCCAGCGCCCTGGCTGGTGCTTTTGGCCTGATGAACCTTTTTGCGAGATCACTTGGAGGCTGTGTTTCGAACTCAAGTCATGAGCGACTGTTAAGCCTTTTAAGCTTGTGCTGTTGTTTCGGAGGCATCAGCAGCGACATTTGCTTCAAGTACTTCGGCTTCCGCGGCCGCATCTCGGCCCCAGCTGGTCACATGTTTGAGTGCAGAAGCGGAAGCTGCGGTCTTTCGAAGAGATGAGGCATTTGGGCTCAGTTCCTGGCACTCTTCTTCGAAGCTATCTTCTTGTTCAGCTTCGGAAAGGCCTGGCCCAAGGGCGCTTGTCCTGTCAGCAAGCAAACCACGATGATGCTGATGATGATGACGATGATGGTGATGATGGTGGTGATGATGATTCAGGTGGACAATTCGCAGCCTTGGTACGTGGCCTTGGCAGTCTTGGTTTGCTTCTCGCTCTTTGTGCAGATGGCTGAGGCGGGCCCCTCTCAGCAAACCTTGAGGTATGCTGTGAGACGGATAACTTTCGTGGGAATAGCCTTGCCGACTAGCCTCTGAGGGCACCTCCTACGGCATCGTGCCCTTCATGAACCGGAAACTTGGCTGAGTGCATGGATGATTGTAGTTGCCACCTGCGGTCATGGCAACAGTTCGTCTTGGTAATTCGTAGGAGTTGGCGACATGCACACGTCAGGAAGCAACTCGCAGTGGTGTCCGCGCTTGTGGGTGCCGGTGGAAACCTCGGGGCAGTGACACCCGGTGGCAGACATTATTGTAACGGAACGGACGGGGGGCTTTCGATTTTCGAGAGATAGATCATTTTGTCGTCTCCCAGATGGGGCCTTCTCTGTCTCTCGAGAGGATAGACCGTTCAAGTCTGCCATGTATATAGAGGAATCGCGTCTCCCCAAATTACAAGACTGATAAGACTGGATCGGGATAGGATGATCAAGAACATAGAGTGTCAGCAGTGCAGAGCTGGAGCCCAGGATTGCAGGCTTCTGCTTTTACAAGCCGATCCAGGATGCCCTGCTGCCTTTCCAGGCAGGGTCGAAGTTCAAGCCCGATGTTCGTCTTGGGGTTATTTGTAAGGGTTGCTCCAGGGTCGCCGGTAAGTGTTCAACGTCATTCACATGGCGTAAGCGACGCCAGGCCACGCAGCGTCTCTTGTGCCCTGGTGCAGCCTCGAAGTTGGCGTTTAGACCTGTATACAAGCATCATGCCCGTCTTGTGTTCGCGGACACTGTTCAATCTAGACACCCGGCGCTGCTTTAACAATCGTGGGACCCGCATCCTTGTAGCCAGACAGGCCTAGCTTGATTCTTGTGAATCGTTACTCAGGGCCGTTAGGCTGGTCCCCGTCGTTGGACAGGTCCATGCGGGCTATGTCATGTTTTGGGCGCTGCTGAGCCCCTGCTACTACTGGTCCGAGATGGGTGGGATGTTTCACGGACCGGCACAGAGCGTCGAGAAGGCCAAGGGCCTCACTACCAAAGCGGATCTTTCATCTCTGTTTCGAGTTTACATGGGAGTCTGAGCATGGAGCTTCATGATCGTGGGTTCATGGTATGTGGAGATTCGTCACCATTTTTTTTTTCGGCAAGGCTGTAGGGCAGGGACACACGGGAACCAAACAGTTTGGAGACGTAGGTATGTGGGCTTTTGAGTGGGCAGTGATGCAGTGGCAGCTGGAAGTCTGAGCTTTGCAGGGCAAGACCGGCGACTACGAGTCTCACGCGGTGTCCGAGGCCACCACTGCAGCAACCACTGAGACGAGCGTGTGAACTTTACAGGAGACAATCTGACCCTCGAGGTGACAATCATTATGCTAATTCGATGGCTCGAGCCAGTTTTGTGTGGTCGGCCGGTGCCTTGGCATGGAGTGCAATGCACCGGCGAGTTCGGACAAGCCCGCCACTTGGCAACAGCCGTGCGCCGGGCCTGCCATCTCTGCATAGTAAGTGCCAAGCACATGACTTGGTGCGACCAGCAAACAGACGCGCAAAATCTTCATATGCACCCTCCGGAGTATTATGAGAAGGGTCCTACTATTTGCAGGTACTATATTAGGATCCCCTATTGAACCCGCCATCTGAAACCCTGTGGGTCTCCCTAGCCCTTTGTCACAAATAGGTGCAGTCACCGACAAGTTCTATGGAGGGGCTGCTTTGTTAGCCTAGCTGATGTGCTCTAAACCCGAAAACCCCTAAACCCTAAACCCAAAAGTACCTGCAGTAAAAAGGGGCCCACTAAAGAACACAAACAAGAAACCCAAACATACCAAAGCCAAGCCCGAAAGCCCCAAACTCCCCACGCTTCTGGGACTTTCTCACCCCACTGGTTTGCCCTAAACCCTAAACCCTACCCTACTGGTTTAGGGTTTTGGGTTTTAGGGCTTTGGTACAAAATCCAAGGATTCTGCCTTGGCTGCAGCTGCCCGAAGCTGTCTTTCCTGCCATGCTTGGCCTTTGGAAGAACCTGGCATCTAATATGGGGGGGCCTTCATAACTAGAATAGGGTATTGCGGCACATTATACTATAATTGTAATAAGCAGCCCCCAACATAGAATTGTATTGGTAATTATTTACGCCTCAATGTGTGGGCTTATGGTTTGGGCTTCGGGGCACAGGTTTAGGAAGCTTCGGGTTTCGGCTTTGTGGCTTCTCGTTGTTCAGGGTTCAGCGTTTTCGGTACTTGAAGGATCATGGGACTTAGTAAGTAGGTTATAATTGGGGTTATAAGTCCCCTAAGTGGGGTTATCCTAATTATAACCTAGTTATAACCTTACTTATTAAGTCCCATGAGCCTTTAAGTAGGTGGGGCTGGAGTTTGGGTTTGAGGGTGGAGGGTAGTATTGCTTAGCATTGCTGTCTTGAAGAACAGCTCCAACCTCCGAGAGGCGACATGCATGTTTTAGAAGGGGCCCCCACCCTGTAATAGTGGTATAATAGGACTAGGAATATAATAGGGCCCCAATATGGGGGCAGCTTCTAATGCATGTTTGTGGTTCATGCGAATTTAGTGTACGGCAGAAGATCAGTGTCGTGACCACTGCAATCATGCAACACAAATCATTGTCGTTTCGGGTTTGCGGTGGCATTAAAACATTGCTGATGCTGCACTGCGGCTACGAAGACGGCAACTACGGACTCTCATACTTCTCCTACTCGTCGTAACCGACCGCCTCTAACTGGTTCGCGACTGCTTCCATCAAAGTTCTCCGACTGTTGTGGAAGCCAGAAGCTTGCGGTAGGCTAAGCCGGTGCCCGAGCCAGAACATACAGTGTCCATGCATATATATATATATATATATATACTGATTCATTTTATTGTATGTAGGTGTGTGAGAATATATATATATATACACACACACATACATATATATATATATATATATATATATGTATGTATGTATGTATGGATGTATGGATGTATGTATGTATGTATGTATGCATGCATGCATGCATATATATATATATATATGTATTGTAATAATACATATATATATATATATATACATGTATATATATACACACATGTATATATATATATATATATATACACATGTATATATGTACATACGTACGTATACAGGTGTCCGAAAAATCACCGTAGCATCCCCTTACAGTCGCTTCGCAGTTGTACTGTAATGTGCCCCAACATCCGGCTCCACGGATTAAGGCCGCTACAATACTGTAGTCGGTGGCCAGGTTCGTGGAACAGAGCTTGGGGCGCTTGTGACTCTGTACATGCCGGTGCTCGGCCCAGAGTGAAGCGGCCAGGGTTTCCACTGAGAGTCTTGGGCTTAGGCCTGAAACGGTTGGGGTTTCAATGTAGGGGCCTAGATAATTACCAATACCAAAAGGGGTTCCTTACTATAGTCCAAGCACAACGGGCCCCAAGACCCTACTCTAATTATTGAGGCCCCTATAGTAGGGTTTTTGGGGTCAAGCTACTGACGACGCGGCTGGCAGTCCCCGTAGGTAGAGCCATTGACTTCTTCTTGCATTTTTTCCTGCAGCCTGTGCACCCCAGCCGATGCAGACCGGACTGCTTACATCCGCACTTCCTCCGGCTTGCACAACCAATCCATACAATGCCTTTGCTGGGACTATGTTTCGGGGTCTCAGAGACCCGGAGCTGCTCACCCAACTCTCATCCTGATGCTACTAGCAAGCGATGTTATGGTATGTATGTGGGTCTGTACATGTACTTATATGCACGCATCGATTGTATTTGGGGTTTAGGGTGCGGAGACACGCGTACACAAGATGGTGCTAGGCTTCATGGTCGAAAGGTGAACCGTCAGGCACTTCTGCACAAAGGGGGGCCAGCAAATAAGTCAGCGCAAATGCAAGATCGGCCACACTTGGAGGTTCATGGGTAGTTATCTACTTATAACCCCACTTATGGCTACCCTAGAACCTCCAAGTAGACCTAAACCCCATAGAATCCCTATAGATCCCTTTAAAGGAGCCCTTGAAGGAACCCTTATAACCCTACTTATAACTACCCATGAACCTTTAAGCGCAGCCAGAGCGAGGTCTTGGCACTGCTGGCCTTGTCTCGTCCTCAGACGCCTGTCGGTTGGGGGCTCACTTGGAGGTTCTAGGGTAGTTATAAGTAGGGTTATAAGTCCCCTAAAATGGGTTATAAGTACAGTTACCCTACTTATAACTCTACAAATAACTACCCATGAACCTCCAAGTAGGGGCTCATTCAGTTCAAGACGATCTCACGCAAGTAGACAGCTGTTGCACCAGTGTCAGTCGCGGCTCTTCTGACGATGCAGGGAGGTTCTTGCTCGCATGGTATACCCATAGGCTCCATAGTAGTTTCTTTTTTGGGCTCATGTTTGGAATCCTATAATGAAGGTAGTCCCCAAAAGGAGCTACTATGGAGCCTCTGGGTAGTGGCTGCTTGATCCGGGGCACGCTTTGCTTGGAAGTGAACTCATACGCCCACTCTTCGCGGTTCACAACACAACAGCAGAAGCAGCTTGTACATTGCTTACGAAAGTTCGAGAGGCTGGTTGAACTTTCGTCCTGTATTCGGCTGACTCACTGGTGCAGAGGGTATGTCAGATATGATCTTCATTCTCGCAGTAGGCCGGATTAGCCTGAAACCGCGACCTCCTCTCAATTGATATGTGCGCTAAACACACTTGTCGTGTCAGTGCTTCTGCATTGTTTGAACCTTGTGCACAGTGTCGATAGCCAGCTTCGTCACAGACGGAATCGCAACCGCTGCATTCGAGACACATGCAATATGTGGCAGGGCGGACTCATTCCATGAGGTCTGTAGCTCCCATCCTACACCCTAAACTGCTGTGCCATTCGAGGTTGGAGGTCTTGCCCATTGTCTTGTCAATGCCTCGGCAGCAGAGAAAGTCAGTTCTCGGAGGTTGTCAGGAGTTGGGGAACCGGGATTTGGGTGTTTGAGGTTTAGGGCTTCAGGACATTTGGACTCCAAGGCCCGCCCCCAACCGCTCCCAAGAAGCATTTAGCCATCAGTGCCGGTCAGATGTCGTGATTCGAGATGGTTGGCGGCTGGGTTTAGTTTAGGGCTCCCCTAAAACCAAACCCCCAACCCCTAAACCCCCAACCCCTAAACCCTGGCATCCGAAACATGTGGGAATCTGTTGCCACAGCCCGCGCATAGCAAACTATAGGGCCCTGAACCCGGCGCCTGCATGGAACTGCTCGTGAAGCTAGTCTACTTGGAGGTTCATGGGTAGTTATATGTAGAGTTATAAGTAGTGCAACTATATATATATATATATATATATATATATACTTATAACCGATTTTGGCGACTTATAACCCTACTTATAACTAGCCTAGAACCTCCAAGTAAACCTAAACCCTATACCCTCATAGAATCCCTATAGATCCCTTTGAAGGAACCCTTAAAGGAACCCTCATAACTCCCAGAACTTCTGTTGCCTGAGGCATCGGATTGCCTTCCGCTACGAGGGCCTCAAATCCTGGAGTGGACTGCAGATGCTCACCATGCGAAGGCGCTTTAGGGTTCAGGGGTTTAGGGGTTTAGGGCTTAGGCCTTAGAGTTTATAGGGTTTAGGGTTTAGGGCACCATGCGAAGGCGCTTTAGGGTTCAGGGGTTCAGGGGTTTAGGGCTTGGGCCTTAGAGTTTATACGGTTTAGGGTTTAGGGCCCCATGCGAAGGCGCTTTAGGGTTAAAGGGTTTAGGGTTTTGGGCTCCTTTGAAAGGGATCCATAAGGGTTCCTTTTAAAGGGATCTATTCGGGTTTCTATTTAGGGTTCAGGGTTGAGGGCCGGCTGGGAAAGGAAGTTGAATAAGAAGCACGGCGGCCTGCCACCACAGTTACATGGGAGTTTGCGAACATAGGGGACCCTAATAGAGTACCCTAAATAGGAGGATCCTGATTCTGAGGACCCCAAAATACTTGGAGGGTCGGGGGACTTAGTAACTGGTTACTTTAGGGGCTTATAAGTGCCATAACCCCAATTAGGCTCCCTTTTAGGGTACTTGTAAGTCTACTCACTATCTACTTACTAAGTCCCCCGACCCCCCAAGTAAGGTACCCCCTAACTTTCGGAAACTCCCAATTCAAAAGTAGGAACATGGCAGTGTTCACAACCACAGCAGCAACAACAACGACAGCAGCCAGCGCCACAGCCACAACCACTTAAGGATTTCAGGGGTTAGCTATCATACTTGTAAGTTGTACCGGCGAAGATTGCAGCATGCCACATGCATGCCCAGCGAGGGGTGAATATCTGCAGACCCAATCCAAGAGACTTTCATTAACAACACCCAAGACAGCCCTCTAACCTCCCATGATACATGATACAACGCCCTACCTAGCTTTCCTGTATGGATTCCCCAACTTTGACTTTAGTGTGGTGTACTGCTGGGTGTTTACAGCCGACGCCAGTACCCGATGGCCAATCTACATAGGCCGCAGCAGGTTCAGGGGTTTGGTTGCAAGTTCGAGGCCTAGGGACAAAAACACTCGTTGGAATGAAGCAGCCACAGTCCGGTTAAAGCCGATACTGCTGAAGGTATTGGCGATTCCAGCTGGCAACCATTGGGGTCACAGTCCTTTCGGGCAGCGTTTCGAACTCACTGTCGCCACGCACCTGGCAGGGAGGGTTCAAGGGGCTGTTTAGGTCCTTCCTCAAGCAGCCGTAACGTACTGTTGAGCAGGATCGCCTTGGGACCGGAATACACAATTCGAGGGGGCCCTACCAAACAGTAGCCTCGGGTAGTTGCAAGTGGGGTCCATGGATCAGGCAGAAAGTTTCGAAAGGCTTAGGGAATTCAGGAGTTGCAAGTGGCAGAGTTGCCGGCTTGGGATGTCTCTCAACCGTCGAGATCTCGTAACAAGGCCGTCGCTGAAGACTGCGGGCTGCGAGGGCGAGAGACCAGGTTAGCACTAACATGGAACCTGAGGGTTTACAGCAAAAGCCCCAAAAGTTGGAAACCCCAGAGCCTCAATCCTCAAGAGTAATGTAGAGGGAATCCCAGCACTCTTTGGCCTTAATCCGGTTTCCGACTTTATGGGCTTTATTGTAGGGTTTACCCATAGGCCCATAGGCCCCAAAGTAGTTCCTTTTTGGGATTTCCCTATAGGAATCTAAACATGAACCACGAAAAGGGACTACTATGGGGCCTTAGGGTAAAGTTTCGGGCCTCGATCTTTGTGAGAATCTGGGTGATCGACTTGCTTTAGTGGCGATTGTTGATACGGCAAGTTCATCAGGCGCTTACAGCATTAGCAATAGTTGCAGCGGAAGGACTCCGACCACCAAAAAGGGCGGCTGTTTGGGCACAACTAAAGTAGAGACGCCAAAGGGCGGATTCCGGACTGTACTCTGCTTTTTACCTCTGAGTTGTTGATTTTGGTTGGTCGGCTGATTTTTTCCAGGGTACCCAGCTGTTCTCAAATGCGTAAAGTCTGAACTCGTTGACATCCACCTCAAACTCCAAATGCGAGAACCCTAAACCTCAACATCTGTAAACTTAAACCTGAGACCCTCAATACTAAAACATGAATCCCAAGCCATCTATACCCTAGGCCCCAAGCCCAAGCGACTGAGGGCCATGTTGCAGATGCTGGATCAGCCGACATCCCTCCTCTGGGAGCTCGGGTACTCTCGACCCGCTTCCATCTTTCCGTCGAGTTTACCCTACTTGGAGGTTCTAGGCTAGTTATAAGTAGGGTTATAACTACCCATGAACCTCCAAGTAAGGGTCCATGTACCCAAGTAGAATATACTTTGGTCCCAAAGTGCCTATGTAAGGACCACTTTAAGGCCGATGGATAGACTATACGAGTACATGGACCCTTAGGGTTTAGGGTTCAGGTTTTGGGGTGTAGGGTTCAGGGATTAGGATTTGGGTTGGGGGTTGGGGGGGTTGGGTTTTTTGGATCTAATGTGTGGGTTTAGGGGTTAGAGTAGGCTCAAGAAGTTTTAGGGCTATTTTAGGGTTCGCTCTGCACGTAAACCCACTCTAGCCCGAAAGCTGTACTGGTAGGCTCTCTGCACACGCAGGACGGAGCCAGAAAGTGGTTGGGGTTGTAGGATTAGGATTTCCGGGTGTAGGACTAGAGTTTTAGAAAAAGTTAGGTTGTACCGCAGACCAGGGCCAGAACTGCATCGTCTTGTTCATTACCTGGGCGGAGACGGAGCCAAGAATGGCTCCCAAGTATCTGCACTCATCCTGCTGCCAGGCAGTCGCTGCCACAGGTGGCAGTATACTTCTTGGCCACTGTCCTTTCCTCTGCCCTAGCCGGAGCCCTGACGTTGCAGGGGAGGGTTTTGGGCCGGGGGTTTGAGTCTTACACCGCAGGCCTCCAATGGCATTCAGCCTCGCTCCAAGAGGGTGTAAAACTTACGTATCTGGCTTCTGAATGTCGTGTCTGTCAACCCTGATACAAGACGATTGATTTACATAGTTATGTAAGTTATGTACTTAGTCAGTTATGTACCGTGACAATGATAGTTTATCATAGTGTAGCATCTTCGTTTTTTCAACTGCTCAGAAGCCTAAACGGAGGTCGTCGGCCCGGTGAGTCTTCTTCGACTGCCCCTGCTGGCGCAGCTCATGTGGGCCGTGGCCACGCGTGGATGCCCAGCTGTAGGAGTGATTCCGGTTTAGGAGTTTCCGAAAATTAGGGGTACTTTATTCTGGGGTCCTTATAATAAGGATCCTACTATTTAGGGTACTATATTAGGGTCCCCTATTTTCGGAAACTCCCATTTAATTTAGGGTGATGTATCCGTGCATGCACAGTGTTTGCGTGCACATGTGCACACATGCAGCATGCATGCATGCATGAAGGGAGTATATGGCTGTATGGGTCTATGACGATCCATGGATTACATGGCTGCATCCTAAACCCCAAACTCTAAACCCTAAACCCTCTACCCTCTAATCTAAACCCTAAATCTATTCCTGGGGCCCTTTTCCCAGGCGCCGCCTCCGGAGACTGCTTCGACTTCCCGCGGCCGGGAGGCTCAAAGCGAGGCTTTGAGGGTCTTGAGGGTTCTTGATTCGGGTTCGGGGTTTAGGATTTAGGGGTTAGGGGTTTAGGGTTGTTCAGGGTTTAGAGGCTTTTTGGGGCTTTGATGGTCACAGTTTGGGTCTTAGGGTCTGCGCTCTGGGTGTTGAGCGGGTAGCAGGGATTCCGTTTGGGGTTGGGGTCTTGGGTCGTGCATTTCTTCATTCGGGCCGCCCGGCCGTGACTCGATATTCTGTAGGGATTTTCTTATGGAGGGCACCCTTAACCGTGTAACCCAAAATACAGTAGACGCCAAAATCCTAAACCCAGTCTGAGTGCTGAAATTGTACAGTTACTGGATTAGAGAACCCCCGTACACTTCAAGGCATACAGCTGCAGCACCATAAATCGTGAACCCCACACACCGATGTCACTGATGGTGTAAATATACGCATATATATATATATATATATATGTGTGTACATATATGTCTACACAGACCCACATACAGTTGTAAGACATGGCGTGAGATGATAAGGTGATATGACATGAACTGGTATGATATTGTATGGTACGGTCGGGTATGATATGATATAATGTGATATGTCATGATGAGAGATATGAGATGTGCAACACACGTATATACACGTATATACACGTATGCATGTGTATATATATATATGTATAAAGCGAGATAGAGAGAGAGAGAGAGAGAGAGAGAGAGAGAGAGACAGAGAGAGAGAGAGAGAGAGGGGTTCATGTCACACCACAAGGTATATATAATCTTGAACCCCGCACTACGAATTATCAAATTGGCAACGTTACTGGACCTAAACCCGAGGGGCTCCAAAGCTGGGATGAAGACAGGTGGGGTAACCACCACAACGAGTCTTTATGTAAGGGATCATGACTTCTGCCTACCTTCAACCCAGCTTTCGGGGCCCCCGATAGGACTGTACCTGATGAATGGGGAGAGACCTAGGTGGAAACCGAGAAGAGTCAGTTCTTGGCCGCAGCGGCCGAGGTGCAAGGGCAGTGGGATCCGAACATGTGAACCCCGTCATCTTCAACACGCCCTAAATATTAAAGTTACCACCCTTAGCCGCTGGTTCATGGGTAGCCATAAGTAGAGTTGTAAGTAGGGTAACTGTACTTATAATCCATATTAGGGGACTTATAGCCCTACTTATAACTACCCCATGAACCTCCAAGTGTAGTAGCCTAAAACCCTAACCCCTAAAACATTCTAAACCCCTAAGCCCAAAACACAAGTGTTTGAAACTGGGACCCATGGCTTCCAAATTTGGGGCTTTCGGTGGAGGAATTGACCGTCGTGGCATTCGGTTTGGGGTTTGGGGTTAAGCCCTTAGGGTTTAGGGCTTAGGGTTGAATTTAGACCCTAAACCCTCAACCCCAAACCTATTCTTCGGGGTTTATGGGTGCAGGAGCTTACCGTTCGGGGTTTGGTGTATTTGGAGCCGTGTTGCATTGTGGTTGTGGAGTGTATGTATCGTATAGCTTTGAAGTGTACTTAGGGCTTGGCTGGTTTTGTGGGCTGTAGTTAATTAGAGCAGACTGGACGGATTTTGCCAAGTTGATTGACAGGATTCACAAGAGTTTTGTATAGTGTTGTAGGGGTGGCAGGGCTTGCTACGTTACGGCTATTCGAAACCAACCACGTTGACGCGAGAAACGGAACAAGGAAATGTTAGACAATCTGTTGCAGTCATGAGCTACCTACATCTGTATCTGATTTTCTCTAGGGCAGAAGCGGATTTCTTACTTGAAGTCACAACTCGTGAGAAGCAGGACTGCTTGGACACGCCGCCCATGGTGCGAGTCTTGGAAGTAGGGCCTGTGCTGCTCGGGGCTTCTTCAGACGGTAGGTGCAGCACCGGGGAGTACGGGGGGGCATATGCGGCGATCAGCGAGAATGCTTGAGGTTCAGAACCCCTAACCCCTAAACGCCGAAGAATTCTGAAAGCCGGGACCCACGACAGGAAACCTGGAACCCTCCCCCCTATCGCCGTGTTCCCGGTTGAGCGTACAGGGTTTCAGTGTACAGTCGGGTCATCGTCATCACCCATAGCCAGCTTGACGATTTCACGATTGGGCACATATCGATGAGAGCTTGTCGATGAAGCTTCTACGGATGCCGTGCTATTACATGTACACCTAGTAGTCGAGTAGGTAACCTTTAAACCTTTTTGGGTAGTATAGTCCCTGTATAATCCCTTTATAACCAAAATGGTTAACCTTTAGTTCCCCATGATACCCGCCAAGTAGGTACATGTCCGTATAGAGTCAGTTGTTCTTTGTGCAGGGCTCGCTCATGCCCCTGCCTTCATAGCCCTAGTGTGTCTTCGCTGCCTCTGTTGCTCAGCTGCGGGTTTTCCTTGCAAGTGCAAGGGTGCTCGCACCCACAGCCAGTCAATCAATCAAACAATCAATCAACAGTCAAGCACACCCAGCATAATCGCAACACTACCCGATACAATCACGTCAAGCCAAGCTCACTCCTTAAGCCCTAATTAAACAACGAGAGAGCGACGAGCCCGAAGCTTGACATTCAATTTCCTGACCTGTGCAGCTGATATACTTTGATTCGATATACTATGTACATCTATGTGCGTAAGATAACAGCATCAGACCGCATGGTACGATGTAATATACTCGTATCTACAATGGCCATCGATGTGAACATGACACTTCTTTTGAGGAATCCATGAAAATCATCTGCAGGCGGCACAGAGGCTGTATTAGTAAGTACGGTGTAGGCTAGGGTTTATTGGTCAGAAGGGTGATTCTTACGGCAGAGCTCCACAGACAGGCAGCCACAAAAGTCAAGCCTGTACCCAGGCAGCAGATCTCTCGGCGTTGTTGCTTGTGTTCCTTGGCTTTTACTGGCTTAAAGTCTTAGGGGGGTTTCCGAAAATACCCTGAGTGATCCTTGTCATAAGGACCCCCAAACAAGACCCCCTTGTTTTTCGGAAGTTGACGGCTGAGCGCTCAGAGTTGATTGCGGAGGTTTTGAAGGAGGCGCTCACACCATGGGTCGTACCCTAAGGCCCTTTTGGGGTTCATATAATTTTAGAATCCTATAAGGTAACCTCCACCCCCCAACGCCTTTGCAGAATCCCTTTGAGCCCGAGAGAGGTGTTGGATGGAGCTTGCAAGGTTTACTATTAACAGGCTTCAGGGGTCCGGGGTACTAACTAGCGGCATGTAGAATTTATAACGAGATGTAATGGTAATGAGCCCTTGTGGAACCACCCTGAGCCGGCTGCAGTCTATATGCGGTTGAGGGTTTGGCTTTCGGCTGTCGGCTGCACCCTTTTCGGGGTCTTGGGTGTTGGAGGTTTCAGGCACTCGGGTATGTTCGTGATGTTTACGGTTTTGCGTTTTTGTAACCCTGCAAATGAAGCCATTTGAAAGAAGCCACCTGCTTAGAGCTTTAGTTCGCGCGGTAAGCATCCCCAAGCTGCCTAAATCTAAGTGAAAGCAGCGCAACACGCACCCCACAGAGTCGCTCCTCCTTATCTCTACAAGTGCCGGATCGAGCATAGCCCAAGGCTTACACCAGCAAATCTAAAACCTTGCATAGTACTTGGGGGGTCGCGGGACTTAGTAAGTAGTTAGTAAGTAGACGTATAAGTACCCTAAAAGGGATTCTAATTGGGGTTATGGTACTTATAAGTCCCTAAAATAACCAGTTACTAAGTCCCCCGACCCTCCAAGTATGGTCTACACCGAATCCTTCCTTAGTCCTCTTAAGAGGCTGCTTGTTTGCGTGACCTATGCCGCTCTGGCGCCGTTGATCATCGTCGCCGGGGTACGAGTCCCGAGAGATTCGAGCTGGGGTTGGGAGGTTCGGATTACTTGGAGGTTCATGGTTAGCTATAAGTAGGGTTGTAAGTGGGCAACCATAATTATGAGCCATTAATAGGGGCCTTGTAACCCCACTTATGACTGCCCATGAACCTCTATGTCGGGTTTAGGGTCTCGCACACAAACCCTCCAAACTCCTGCACCTGAAAACTCCCAAGGAATTCAGAGGCTATGGGATGTGCATGGTCGTGAACTCTAAACCTCACACGGTTGCAGCCAGCGTTGGCAATCGGGATCACTGTCGCTCTGCTGACTGTCAGTCTCAGGGTGAGGCGTGCAAGGTTCTGGTCTACTTGGAGGTTCATGGTACTTAGTAACTCGGGTTATAAACAAGGTAACGATACGTATAATTGGCTATATCCCCAGTTAAGGTACTTATAACTGTACTTGCTAAGTTCCATGAACCTCCAAGTAGGGGAGGCTGTTCCATGAGGGTTCGAGGTGGTAGTTGTGGAAGTTTGCTTCCTAGAACAGAACGTCTCGGAAGAAATGTATTGGCCTAAAATATTAGATCAGGGTTTTGAGGGATATCACACCATAATTATGATCAGGTTTCCCCAAAACCCTATTAAGATTATTAAGGCCCGGTTCCTACTTTAGGGGCATCAAGAAGTACCTACACTATTTTTCCTTAGGAAAGTTATAGCATAATGGGTCCGATAACCCTCTTCTAATTCTTAAGGCCCCATTCTTAGAGCCAAAACCCTGCACCCTAAAACCTTGGTGTTTGACCTGCCTTGGGAGTCATAAATTTATGAGGCTCACTTGGGGGAGTTTCCGAAAATTAGCGGGTTACCTTAGGGTTCCTTTGAAGGGTTAATATACGGGTACTATAAGGGTGCCTTTAAAGGGCTCTATAAGGGGTTTAGAGTTTCCGAAAATTTGGGGTGCCTTATTTGGGGGGGTTCTTATAGTAAGGATCCTACTACTTAGGGTGCTATATTACGGTCCCCTATTTTCGGAAGCCCCCGCATGGCTTATGATGAGGTTATGGGTACAAAGTATTGCTCTTATTCGGAACCCTTAAATAGGAACTCTACCAGAATCATTCTTCTGAGGAACCCTTAAATAGGAACCCTACCAGAAACCCCCATAAGCTCTGAATCAGTCGAGGCCTTGTTCTTCGCTTTGCGCTGGCTGGTCTTGGCACTGCGGTATCTCTATGCCAGAAACTGAGCTTAGCTGGCCCCAGGCTGCTGGCAGGAGATTCCTTTAGAGGGATCTATAGGGTTTAGGCTTTAGGAGATCCTAATACCCCGTAATTAGGGAATATATACCTTAAATCTTAATATTAAGGCCCCTTTAACTTAAGGTAGATTCCTTAATAAAGGGGTCTTGGGTTCTCTGGGTGGCAGGAGTACCATGACGCGGGTTATTTTAGGCTTATACAACAATGTCATCGGCTATACTCGAAGGTTCATGGATAGCTATAAGTGGGTTACAACTCCCCTATTCTGGGTTCTAATCATGGTTGCCCTACTTATAACCCCACTTCTAACTACCCATGAACCTCCAAGTAGGGTTACTACCGGCATGGGATTGGACATGAAATTCTGACCACCACAGCCAGGCGCGAGACGCCTCCAAATACCGAAACGCCTTCACGCGGTAGCACCCAGAGATCCCAATGCCCCTTAATTAAGCCTTAAATGATAGGGGGCTTAGTAGTATGATTTAAGGTATATTCGTATATTCCTTAATTCACGGGTATTGGAATCTCTGGGCATCGATTCTCAACCGTGCGGCGAGGGCCTGGGGGTTGATGTTGCCGAGCAGCTGAACGGCAAGACAGCAACTTAAAGGAAGGGGACTTACAAAGGGCCGTCACGTTTGAACTCTAAACCTTAAACCCTGGACAACCACAGGGCATCTTGGAGCACTTCCGCATTGGTTCCAGATTCGGGATCTCTCAGGCTCGCCTTATGAGAAAAACCATGGAAAACATCCAGATGCAAAGTCTTCATCCAACCCATTATAGGGTCCTTAATAATTAGAACAGGGTTTTAAGCGATCCTTAAAAGGGTTACTATAAGGGTACTGTAATACAGGGGTTTTAATAATTTGAACGGGATTTTGGGCCCCATTATACTACTATTAGAAAAGGAACCTCCCAATTAGTATTGAGTGTTGTTAGTTATTGAGGCCCCTATATCACACCCTGTGGATCGGTAGGCCCTCTAGAACTGAAACACCGCACCCAAGCGGCTCAAATCTACAAACCTAATCAAGCAAAGCCTCGTGTCCAAGCCACATAAAAGACAGTATGACAGAAGAGAACGAATCCCCAAACCCTAAACCCTAAACCCGATGTTTACCGTCGTGAGGCAAGCATACGTCAAAAAGGAGCTGAACAAACAAAAGCAAACAACAACTAAATCTTAGGTACGGCCCCCACTCAGTAATAGTTGAATAATATTCATAATGTAGATATAGTAGGACCTTAATAAAGTAACCCTATTATAGACCCTTACTGTATGGGGGCCGTACCTAAACTAAATCCGAAGCTATGAAGCTAGTAAATATACCCATAATTATAGCCCATTATTATAGGGTAGGGGTCCCCATTAAGGGCCTAAACCCTAAACCCCTAAACCCTAAACCCCTAAACCCTAAACCCCTAAACCCTAAACCCTAAAACCTTAAAACCCTAAACCCTAAACCCCCAAACCCCCAAACCCTTAAACCCCTAAACCCTAAACCCTAAACCCTACATCCTAAACCCTAAACCCTAAATCCTAAACCCTAAACCCTAAATCCTACATCCTAAACCCTAAATCCTAAACCCTAAACCCTAAACCCTAAATCCGAAGCTACGAACCCGAGAGCCTCAGGTCCATGTCCCCCGTTTCGACTCGGGGGGTGCCTTCTGGTATCTGCTCTGGGATCAGGCCTGGATATACTCCTTCAGTTTACGGTTTAAGGGGTTTGCTGGGGTCTGGGGAGTTTGGGGGTTTTAGAGGTTTAAGGGGTTTTTATGTTTTGTTTTTTTCTTGCGTTCAGGGGCTTAGAGGGTCCGGGTCGAAGGGTTTAGGCGGTTTACGGGTTGGGGAACCCCCTATTTGTGTGTATCGCCGCCTCCCTCCCTGCAGCAAATACCTGTAGAATCCTACCTTAAACCCTAAGCCCCTAAGCCCTAAACCCCTAACTCCTAAACCCTACACCCAGGTGGAAAAGAGCCCATTAAAAAAAAAAAAAACCTACACCCGAATCCCTAGATGGGTTCTATAGAAGCCTCGTGGCTCCACGGCCCTCTGTCCGCGACCCCAGCCTCGCCAGAGCATTGAGTGCAGGGATCTGTTGGCATGTCCAGGGCTGTTCAGAGATCCTAATACCCCTTAATTTATTAAGGAATATTCCTTAAATCATGATGTTGAGGCCTCCATAATTTAAGGTATACTCCTTCACTAAGGGGTATTGGGTTCTCCGGGCTGGTTTAACTCAGCCTGGGCAGTAGTATGTGACAAGAGCGAGCCAAGGTTAATCTTACAAGTTATCTTACTTCTCGAGTGTTGGGGTGTTGGGTGCACGTACGGCTCATGTTGATGGTGGGTAGGTTGAGTGATTGGTATCGGACATTTACCGGCCGAAATCTAGAGCCCGAAACCACTTATAAGCTAACCTTCAAGCTGAAACCCAAAAGCTTCGGCATACACCGAGACACTGAAGCATAAATAGATTAATATATGTATATATGTATATATATATATATATACATATACGACAGGCCATCATGGCCCTCTTCCTGGGGGATGTAGCGACCCTGGCTGCTGTGGCGCTGAGGCGAAGATGTACCGTGGAAAGGTATTTCTGCGGCTAGATATTGATAGTTGGACTGTTGGCCCGTAGCACCCCTGCGCAGAACGAACGAAAACCTCAAGAGTATCAGTCCTTCAACAAGGTCCCTTCCCCTGTCTTGCTTTCGTGGTGCCAAGGTCTTCAGTTGAAGGAGGGCTGCAGCATTTGGGGAGAGGGTTGCGAAGTCACCGCCACCATAGGTCAGGAGCGAAAGCACTGCTGCGAATGGGTTCAAAGGATTTCGAAGGCTTGAGAGCCGGATCTAAGCATCAGGCAGCGTTGGAACAATGAACTTTTTGACCGCGGCTGCTTCTGCATACAGACGTGTCTACATGTAGCAGGCGCATCGTCTTGACCGCTTCAATTCCGACGACATGTGAGCAGGTCCGGCTACGCGCAGCTGCCTTTCCTGCTGCCGCTGCCATTGCTGCCAGGGACCATGGGTCTACCTAGAGTATCCAAGGTACCTAGAACAAGGTAAACGAACCAATCGTGCAGGGTCATATCCTGTTTTCAATAGGTACATTGCTTGCTCTTGGTGGCAAGGCCCGTCGGCGTTTGTGATCAAACCCTAGCATCCTTGCAGGACATTTAAGCCTCATTGAAAAGGCCACAGGGCTGTTAGGGTATAAATATGCTTCGCAGAATAAGGATCTGTTACAAAGAATAGTGGTTTATGATTCTACAAAAGTTCTCTAAGATGCAGCAACAGTTTGGTTCCAGGCCACTTCGCCCAGGAAATGAGTTCACTCGTATATGACAACTCTAGGGTTGCTTTTTTTTCAAAGCAAGTTGTTGATTCGGTGGTTGAGTTATTCCTCTTGGTGCTTGTGTGCCTGCGTTCCCAGCAGGAAGGGCAGGGAGTGTGCTCGGCATCTCTTGGGTCAGCTCTAACTTTGGAGTTCCTCGGTTTCGAGTTGGAAGATCTAGGGAAGGGCTTAGGGTTTACAGGGTTTAGTGTTTAGGTTTTAGGATTCTCCTCAAGCCTACAGCCGACAACCCAACATCCAAACCCCTAAGACTTTAAGACCTGCGAAACCTGGAGGCGTGCGGGAGCTTAAGCCCCAAGCCAGAAAGGTCTCACCTGGGTTTGCGGCTTGGGCCCTAAACCTCACAGCCGACCCGAACCACTAAATCTCAAACTCAGGAAGAGGGCAAAGCCCTAATTAAGGTTCAAGTTTAAGCCTTTCGAGGGTTCTAGAGGCTTCTGTGGTTAGGACCCTCATGGAGAGGGGTTTAGGGTTTAGTGTAGTGATAGTAGTCTGTCTTGCTGTCACCTCTCTCTGCAGCTGCAGCAGTGTGTATGCCCCACATCCCCGAGACCCACTGAAGGTGCATGAGAAGCTTGATCAGCCTGTTACAGTTCGCTTATATGCCCTATGCAACTATAGTATCGTCTATGCGGAAACCATCATCAACTTCTTCAAGCACGTATATACTTAGTGTAGGGGTCTTAACAATTAGAATGGGGTCTTGGGGTAGGTTAGACAATACTTACAGTAAGGAGCCCCGAAGTAGTAAACCCACATTATCATGTTCTTGACGACAAGAGCCTTACAATTTCCACCTGCAGCCTTTTGGACAGCATTGAAGGTGCAGTAAGCTGTAGAACTAGAAGAGGCTCCAACACTCCGTCGCTACAACACATATGACATACCGTTTTGTTGGAGTATTCGTATATTCGTATCCAGGATTCCTGGATCTTAACTCGATTAAATTGTAAACCCTGCACCTAAAACCCTAACCTTAACCCCTAAACCCTTAAACCCCTAAACCCCTAAACCTTCAGTCTAAACCCCTAAACCCTAATCCCTAATCCCTAAACCCCTCAACCCTAAACCCCCTAAACCTCTAAACCCCAAGCCGTCCGAGGCCCGTGGCCTTTCGCCTCCGTGCCGAGTTCCGCTTCGCCGAGCCGTCGCGACGGCTGTCGCTGCGAGCCGCACGGACGCTCGATGCCGGGGAGCTCAGAAGAGTTCAGGCTTGAGGAGTTTAGGGGTCAGGGGCGTGGAGTTTAGGAGTTTAGGGGTTAGGGTTTAGGGGTTTGGGTTTAGGAGTTTAGGAGTTTAGGGATTTGGGTTTAGGGCCTCGGGCACATTTAACCTTCAGGTACTCCGTGGTTAGACTGGCATGTTCGCTTGGACTGCTGCAATCGCCCGGTCGCAATGGAGCTCGAGATTTGCTGACTTCGGGTTGGAAATCTTACTCGTACTCCTACTCCTACTCCGACACCTACTACTACACCTACTCTAGTACTACTACTACTACTACTACTACTACTACTACTACTACTGCTACTACTACTACTACTGCTACTACTACTACTACTGCTACTACTGCTACTACTGCTACTACTGCTACTACTGCTACTACTGCTACTACTGCTACTACTGCTACTACTACTACTACTACTACTACTACTACTACTACTACTACTACTACTACTACTACTACTACTACTACTACTACTACGGATCAACAGTATCACTACTACCCATGATGTTCTTCGAAAGTCTTGGAGCTCGCGAGTCGGACCCCCGATTCCACTCAGGAACCCAACTCCGAAGTTGGTCGTAACGGCGAACTCGAGCCTTAAAGGATCTAAAGGATCCCTTAAAAGGAACCCTTAAAGGATCCCTTAAAAGGAATCCTTAAAGGATCCCTTAAACGGAGCCCTTAAAGGATCCCTGATGGGATCCTCTAGCCGATCCTAGGTTGTGTTGTAAGAGTTCTAGACTTCAAGCCACCCGGCTAGGGTTTAGGGTTTAGGGATAGGCAAACAGTAGACCTCGAACGCGGCCGTCAATGATTGAAGCCCCAAACCCCAAACCCTTAATCGTTAACCCATCCTTGAACCTTACGCCCTCAATTCCTGAGGCCCTCAGCTGCGAATGCTCCCACCACCACTTCAAATCTACAGTACTTGGAGGTTCATGGGTAGTTATAAGCAAGTAGAGTTATAAGTACGGTAACTGTACCTATAACCCATATTAAAAGGACTTATAGCCCTACTTATAACCACCCATGAACCTCCAAGTGAGGACTCCCAGGACCCTAAAGAAAAAATTCTCTGAATCTCAACCCGAATCCTGCACCTTCAACCCTCACCCCGAACAGGGGTTTAGGGTTTAGGGTTTAGGGGTTTAGGGGTTTAGGGTTTAGGGGTTTAGGGTTTAGGGGGTCATTGTAAACAGAAAGGTGTTTTTCAAGGCTCTAAATACCGAAAGTTTTCAGTCTCCGCCCATAGTACCCTAACGATGCATGGATCTCTTATACAGTAACCCCTACCCTAAACCCCAGAACCCTAAACCCTAATAGAGACCCGGCCCCCGAAAGCCAAAGAATCCACAATAATCCCTAAACCCTAATCCCTAAACCCCTAAACCCTACACCCTAAACCCTAAACCCCAGGCAAGGGCAGATCCCAACTTGGCCGATCGCTTCCCCTTCGATGCTTACTGGCATCCGGCGCCGGGGGGCCCGAGTTTAGGGTTTAGGGGTTTAGGAGCTTAGGCCTTCGGTGGGCATCAAGATTTTCTGGTGTGGTTTAAAGTTTGAGAGTTGAGAGCAGTGAACTGTAAGCCTACAGACATAGCCAAAGTAGCGACGACTGCGTAGAGTAAATGAGCGAAGGCCCTTGTCGTACCACATCAACCGTCACCCCCAAACCTAAATATAAGAAGTCTGAACCCAACAGACATGCTAAACACCAAAACCCCACAACCCTAGTTACACCCGAGAAGCCCTCAACCCTATGACTCGAAGAAACTCTTGAATCCAACTATAATGCTCCAACAACCACCGTGAACCTTAAACCTCAGAAACCCTTGAACCCTAAACCCTCGAACCCTAAACTTGGAAACCCTTGAACTTTCCAGTGCAGCAGCCCTTTAAAAACAGCCTCACCGAGGTCGGCAACGCCTTAAACCCTAAACCACCAAAGCCCTGAACCCAAAACCCCAGAACCCGAAGCCCTAAACCCCAAAACTCTACACCCTAAACCCCAAGAGCCCTAAATCTCAAAAGCCCTAAACCCCAAACCCCTACACCCGAAACTTCCTAAACCCTAAACCCACTGAGGCTTCGGCATCCGGCCCACGTGGAGGAAGCTCGATCCAGAAGCTTCCTCCACCCCTCGGCTTCGGAGCCGATCTACGACAAGGAGGGATTCAGGGTTGAGGGTTTGTGTTCTTGGGTTTGGGGTTTTAGGTTTGAATTCAGGAATTGAGCACTGTCGGATTTTTAGGAACTCGACGTGCTCTGGGGGGGTTCCCGAGTTTCTGGTTCTTCGTTTCAGACCATTTCAGGGCATGGTGTACTGTGTGATTCGCGGTGTATGCCGTTTTGTCGAGTATGTGCAACCGGGATTTCAGTGTCTAAACGCCGTCCTGCCTGAACCCTGTCCCGAAGATGTCCAAAAATGGGTACCAAATGCCACAAATACCCTGAACCTGACCTACAACTGCCACAGCCTATTTTTTGTTGGTTCTTCTTATAAGCCCTAATATGGAACTTATAGGGACCCACAAAAGGTAGGTGTCGATAGGTTAAGTTAAACCTTGCTGCATTCCTCATCCTTGACAATGACCCGAAACCGCACCTTTGCTGGCAGGATGTCCTTCAGGATTAAGCTGAGGCCAGTCTGTGTCCAGGGCCGGGGGTAGGAGTTACTGTAGGGTTTGTGTGATATGTCATTGCGTAACATTGCTGCAGTTGTTGGGATGGCGCAGAAATGTTCGTCTACATTTGCATGCCTGCATACACATGCATACATACGTGTGCAAAAACAGTTTCTCGCAGGTTGAATACATATTTTACAGTCTGCTGTACCGACACGTGCATTGAGCCGCAGCGCGGCAGATATCTCCCAAGCACCTGGACGCCTGGGACGGATGCCGAAAATCCTTTCTAGTGCTCTGGCTGCCTTCACTTGTGGGCACCAGGAGAACCGGGACAAGCGAGTAAACCCTTGCGGGAGAGCGCAAAACGAGAAACTCAAAACCACCGAAGCCATGGAAGGACCTCGCGAAGTCTCTGCTTTTCTGGCGACTTTCGTAAACCCTACACCCCTGGCCTTTGTTGTGTGTTAGGGCTGAACGAAGTAGCGCTCAGGGTTAAAATCCGTGAGCCCTACCCTCCCCACGCCCACTCACCAGGTTTCTGGCCAAGAGGTGCATGTTTGGCGGCCGGGAATGGTGAAGACAAATTTTCAACAAGCACGTTGAGCAAGGGCTCCAGCCAAACACATGCACACGCGCCGCGGAGGTTGTCAGTGTTGCAACGAGCCATGGAGATAGCCAAGTTACCCATAGGCCCCATGGTCGTTCCTTTTGGGGGATTACCCTATAGAAGTCGTAATATGAACCCCAAAACGGAAGCACTTTGGGTCCTTTGGGTACTGTTTCAACACCATCTTCAGGGGCTGCCTCCGCAACACACAGCACAAACCTGAAGGTTTGTGCTTGAGCAGCTGGTGCATGTGTACGAGATTTCTTTTTTTAATTCCCCACCCGCTTGGGGCTGGAAGATGCAGTTTCTGGTTGGGCTTCCTCCAACTAAAGTCTCATCCCTCTCATTGGTAGTATTACTACTGAGATCTCTCGTTTCCGGCAGAAAATGTATTTCTAATTGCCAACAGGATTTCGTCATAGTAAATACAAGAAATAGTTATGCACTGGTGCGGTTCCCGGACACCAGTAGATCGAGGTGTGCCCTCCTTCCAATTGAAACCTACAAACATTCAGGAAAAAGCCGGCAAACGTAGCCAACGGGAATCATGTGGCAACCCGACTTTGATCATCAGTGCAGCGGGCCGTACGGCTATACCTGCCTAGGTAGTGTTGTCTCGATATATGCAGTACTAGCTGAAACCGACAAGTCCCAAACTGCGAATGGTTAGTAACAGAATCGGTCGCAGTAGGTCGCAGTAGCAGTCGTCGTCGTGGTCGTGAATTTATCGTTTTTTTTTATATGTGCGAGTTGCAGTAGCTGGTAGGAATAGGAGTAGTACCCGTAGTACCGACGGGAACTAATATAGAAGACCGAATACTATTTTTGTGGGTTCCTTTTTATAACTATAGTATAATGGGCCCCAAAACCCTATTCTAATGAGCAAGGCCCCTACATTACAGTACACTTATAGATCCCTCATAGTAACCCTTATAGACCCCTTTAAAGGGACCCTATTCAATATATTAAGGCCCCCAAAATTAACAAGGTGAGTAGCTCAATAGTCCGACCTCTGGAGGATGCCCAGCTGCCCACTTTTCCTCCTCACAGGGCGCAGGGAACTGGGCCAACACCCGACTAATTAGGGATACCCTATTTTGAGTGTCCTTGTAATAGGGGTACCTTTAATATGAATGGAGTCCTTGTAATAGGGATCCTGCTATTTAGGGAAGTTGCTTGAAGAGCTGACAGCTCGGCGCTAAGATTCCGGGGCTGGGGATTTCGGCTTTTGAAGAGCTTTGCACGGTTCTTGCATGCGTAAACCGTCAGGACCTTGAGGATTTCGGGTTTCGATAACCGCGGATGCGAATCCCTAAGCGCTAGACCCGAAACTCGAGGGCATCCGTGGCTTTTTGTCCTGAATCCTTAAACATGTGGCCAGCATCAACACTTCGAAGCCCTTTTCCCAGTACGCTGAGCTCCAATCCCAATCCCAAAGGACTAAAACCCAGTGGGATTTATGTGGTATGGATGGGCTTCTGATGTTTTAGTCCTTGGAGTCTAGGCGGGTTCCAGCCGGAAGGCAGAGGAATGTTTACCCCGAAGATACCCAATGCCATTCCCTAGCAGTTGATCGCCGAATTGCGCAAACGCGTCCTTCGTCCAACAGGAACCTGGATCCAAGTCCCTTAAGTTTCAGTGTTTTGAGTTCGAGGAGGGTTTGCGGAGGGTTAAGACTTGAGACTTTCAGCGTAGGATTGTGAGCTTGACCCATTTCCGGGACTTTTGCAAATTCGACATGTTGGACCCAAGTGCACTGTCGGATGCAGTTGGGGATTCAGCGTGTGCCCCGGCAGGTTCGGTGAGAACCCTGAAGCTCCGTCATCCCTTGGCTAAAGTATGTATATCTATCTATCTATCTATCTATCTATCTATATATATATATATATATATATGATCCCGGTTCTCGGTTCACCGACCCCCCCCCCCCCCCCCAATGGTATCCCCCCCCCCCACGCTCCCCAAGCCGAATCTGTGTGTCCACACGAGGGCTCACACGCCAAGCAGACCCACGCAGGAAACCCAAACCACACCACACCACAGGCAGGGGGGAGTGGGGAAACCAGCCTAAGCAGACCCACTCCCGAACCACACCACACCACACCACACCACACCACAGGGAGGGTGAAGCAACCCACAACCACACCACACCGCAGGAGGGGGAGGAGGAACCATTGGGGGGGGGAGGGGGGGGGGGCGGCCGAACCGGGATCATATATAGGGTTTAGGGTTTAGGGTTCCGTCATTCCTTGGTTAAAGTATATATATGGGAGTTTCAGAAAATTAGGGCTACCTGATTTCGGGATCCTTATAATAAGGATCCTATTATTTAAGGTACTATGTTAGGGTCCCCTATTGTCGGAAACTCCCATATGGGGTTCAGGGCTTGAAGGGCTTAGGTGCTGCAGCCATATAACCGCGGACTCGGACTTGAGTTGCTTCGTGAATCTACTTGGAGGGTCGGGGACTTAGTAACTGGTTATTTTAGGGACTTATAAGTACCATAACCCCAATTAGGGTCCCTTTTAGGGTACTTATAAGTCTACTTACTAACTACTTACTAAGTCCCGCGACCCCCAAGTACGCAACTAGGTGGCAATTTTGGGAAACTTTTTAATTTCCCTTATGGTTCCTATAGAGGTATCTAGTCATAAATATTCAGAGCCCCAAAACTACAACCCAGGCAAGGGATGTCGGAGCTTCTAAGGAGGCAGCAAGTCCTTGGTCCCACTGCTTTCCTTCAAGCTGAGACGGAACCCCAAACACACGCTAGTCGCTAGTCTCTGTTAAGTTCGCCAACTATGGCCAGACTCATGTGGGTGGTTGTCAAAATTATGGTCCCTTTGTGGGAACCCTAAATATTAGGTGCCGCACTATATTAGTGACCCAAAAAGGGACCATAGTTTTGACAACCACCCATGTCGATGACGGGGACCATCTTCATCCTGGTCCCCCATCAAAACCATCATCACCACGACGAAGTACGCCATGAGCAATCGCAGCCTACTTATCACTATCGTCGAGTTCCTGAACGTGATCATGCTAAGACAGGCTGCATCATGAGGAGCCCATCATTGATCAGTACCGTTGAGACCGGCACACTCCTAAAAAACTGAAATCACAGAGAATGTCTGCCACCCTCAAATCACCCGTACAAATCTAGGAGAGCCTCTCAGACCTTTGTTAATGAAGGCTAACTCAGGAAATTGCTGCTGCCATCCCTGCTTCAACATACTTCCTGCAAGATCGGCGGGGAAGGCCACCAGCTGTCCCAGAGCATCTTAAGGAAAAGCACTAGTACATATACAATGGTGACGGGAGAACCGCGCATCAGTTGGTCCTCGGGTGCCTTCTTTTGCGATCATGCTCGATGCTTTCATCTGCACATGGGATCCAGCACCCAATACCTTTGTGTTGGAATGAACAAGGACCAGATAGAGAAATGGCCCAGAAGGGTCCTTAAGATCTGAACTGCCTAAACCCTCCAAGCCCTGTTGTCGGTTGCGGCGTATGCGCTTGGCGCCCTTGTGCAGAGTACGGGAACGGGTTTAGACTGCGCAGTTGCTGTCACCATGGCCTGATTCTAACAGAACTCCGGACAACCCAGCCTGCAGCTGGCTGTTTTTAGGAGTGCAGGCAAGGAGCCATAATATATGATTAGCACCACAACTACCGCTGCCGCTACCACTGCCACTGCCGCTGCTGTTGCTGCTCATTCCCCCACCCCTACCCTACTACGACGACGACGACGACGACGACTACTACTACTACTATTACTACTACTACTACTACTACTACTACTACTACTACTACTACTACTACTACTACTACTATACTACTACTACTACTACTACTGCTACTGCTACTGCTACTGCTACTGCTACTGTACTGCTGCTACTGCTACTGCTGCTACTGCTCCCTGCTGCTGCTGCTACTGCTACTGCTACTGCTACTGCTACTACTACTCCTACGACTATTCCTACTCCTACTACTACTACTACTACTGCTGCTACTACTACTACTACTGCTACTACTGCTGCTACTACTGCTACTACTACTGCTACTACATTACAAGAACGACTACTGCTGCTGCTACTGCTACTACGACTACTCTTACCATTACCACTATCTATTACCACGGCTACTACCGCGACTTGTAGCACTAGTACTACGTCGTCTACTGCCACTGTCCGTATTTTAATGATTAATGCCAATGTTACTGTGCTATAGACTATGATTTCATTTTATACGTTTTATGTTCTTAAGAACCTGAACCTCAAAGCCCCAAAAGCCATCATGTCTGAGCCTCTGAGCCATGAAGCCTCACAAGCAACCTGAAGTCATAAGCATCTTGGTCTTTAGTAAGTAAGGTTAAGTACCATAATTGGGGTTATAAGTATA